CAAAAATGTGTCCTTTATCGCGCGATATTTGGTTGCACGATGCAAAATGGGGTTTTTTTCCACTGTGCGAAACCGCGACAAAAACACAAGGCACTTTTAAAAAACATTTTGAAAAAAAAATCTGAAAAAGTCAAAGAAACTTTTCATATGTATATAAAAAAGAGTTTCCAAATCGTTAAACAAAGCATGAATAAGCCCCGAGTCTTGCAAACACGGCTTAGAGATTGCCAAAATGATACTGTAGAAGGGGGGTTTAGCCAGCATATTATGATTTAGTCGAGAAGGTTCCGAACCTCGGATTCTTCTGGCACACATATTGCTTTTCTGGTGATATTAGCTCATTCTATTCAGGGACAGTCGAGATATTCAGCAATCATTAGCTCCGAGAGGGGGCTATAACAGGTAAAAACACTTTTCGGCCGTATCTTTGCCAGTTTCGCAGGGAAAATTTTGATTTTTTGTGGAAACACTACCCTCTGTAGTAGAAATAGCCATGAAGCTTTTCATGCCAAAATTTACAAAAAAATGTTAAATTTTTGCCAACTTTCGACTCAAAAATCTCAGTCCTTTCTGCAAAACGTAAGCCAGAAGTCTCGCGTATGTCTTAGAAAGGATTATTTTAAACTTATCCCAAGTTTCATGAAGAACTGAGCCTTACACTTGAACTTCCCTGAACTCGCAAAAAAGTGCCTCATTTTGTCAATTTTTGGCTTAAAATTTAGGTCATCTAGGAAGCTCTCAAAATTTTTTATTTAACAGGAGAAGTACCCCAAGTGCGACGCTCGGATTTAGATGAAACTTGGCACAAATTTAGAACAATGTTTTCTGGGATATATGCGAGAATCCTAGCTTGCGCATTGTAAAAATAACCGGGATTTTTAGATCGAAAGTCGGCGAAAAATTTACACTTTTTGCCGAAGTTTGGCACGAAAAGTTTCATACCTAATTCTACTGTTGAGAGTAATGTTTCCAGAAGAAATAAAAAAAAATTATTCGAAATTGGCAACGTTATGGCCAAAAAGTGTTTTTTCTCTGACCGCTCTCTGTGTTTTGCATACTCTCTCAGCCACAAAAGTCGTTGAATATCTCGGCGGCGCTAGCAAAATTTGAGCTAAAACTTTCAGGAATTGATACTTAGTTCATGCCCGACGTGTGTGCAAAATTTAAAGAAAATCTGAGCGTCGCACTTGGGTACTTCGCTTGTAATTTTGTGCCTGACTTGAATAAAATCCGAGCGTCAAATTTTGAGCACCTCACGTCAAACTGAGATAAGCTAAAACATTCCGGTGAATGGATTGGCAATTTGGCAAAAAAAGACGCGAAAAAACATTTTGTCGGGGCAGAAATGGGGAATTTTTGGGGCGAGAGAGTACGCTTTTGCGTGTATTTTTTTTCTCTCTTTCTCTGGAAATCAAGACGAAGTGTAAAAAACCCATACCGAAGTGTCTATTCCGGTCACCGGACTCCTCAGTTTGACGTGCACCTCCCTGTTAGAATAGGCCCGTATGGCAGAAAATCGTCCCACCTTCCTTACCTGACATTGCACAACATATTTTGAAAGTAGACCCTTCCGTTTTGTTCCGCTATGACCTTTAATTTTTTGCCGAAAAACGCGCCTCGCCGCGCCTCGCATAGTCGACTCTACCGTACCGCATTCCCCCTCCCCTTATCGCATGGCCCATCTACAAAGAATTTGGTTGACTTTGCGACCCGAGCGAAGGGAGTTGGAATCGCCTTTTGTAAAACTCACAATTTTCGTTCGAATTTTGGAGAAAAGCAAAAAAATTCGGGGAAAAATGCAACATGCTGTTTCAAAATGCTATTTAGTATTCCAGGGGGGGAATGGCTGTTCTTGAAATTTGCATTTTTTCAACATTCTTTGCATGTGTTTGGTTGGAGGTAATTGCCAAGTTCTGGGGAAGCGATGGTTTCCAATACTTGGCAAAAAATCCTAAAAATTTTTTTTTTGAAATATCGGTCTGTCGGGAAAATAATGAACACACTGTTGCATTGAAAATCGCTTTGAAAGACCGAGAAAACGAATTGTATCGCGGCAAAACCCAATTGCTCACCTCGGAGATGCGATTGCCGAAGCGACATTGTGCTCATTATTTTCCCGACAAACTGATACTCGAGGCAAGAAGTCCTGGGAATTTCTCGCGGTCCACAAATTCCTGCTCAGACCGCGACATAGCCTCCTTTTTAGTCAGTCCTTCGTGAAAATAATGAGCACTCTGTCGCATCGAAAATCGCATCGCCGCCTAGAAAGTGAATCGTACCGCGGGAAAACCAAATTGCTTTCACTTCAGCGACGCGATTGCCGAAGCGACATTGTGCTCATTATTTTCCCGATAGGCTGGTAGAACGACCATTTTGCACAGTGCATTTTGCCTCGTCGCGGTTTGATGAGTCGCGACAAACACTTTGCACCGTGCAGACATGTCAACACTTTTTGACCCACTCTGTTACGACTCCACAAGATGGTTGAAAAGTCTTGACTTGTCCAGACATGGCAATCGGGCCGGGCTTTTTGCCCCCCTTGGCCCTAAGCCCGGCCCGATGAAATGTAGGCCCGGCCCGGCCCGTTTTCAAAATTTCCAAAGCCCGGCCCCGTTGCCATGTCTGGACTTGTCACAACTTTGCTGATTTTGAGACTTTGTCGCGTCTCTCTAAGCGGCTACGAATTAAAATGCGCAATGCGTGCCGAGTACGCACAGAGTAAAGTGATCATTCTGAAAAAGAGAGTTGACGCTGATTTCGCGCGATGACACAGAACAATGCGTTTTTTATCAGTCTGTCGGGAAAATAATGAGCACTTTGTCGCATCGAAAATCGCTTCGCCGCCGAAAAAAATGAAATTTGTCGAGGGAAAATCAAACTGCTTTTTACTCGCGATCGGCACAGTGACATTGCGCTCATTAGCGACTCATCATTTTCCCGACAGACTGATAAAAAGTTCATTTTGCACCATGCTTTTTGTTTGCCGCGCAAGGCCAATTCGCCAGACCAATGACTAGCACACAGTGCAAAGATCAAACTTTTTTGTCAAAACTTTTTCAACCAACCTGTTGCGTTACCGATTAGCACTCACAAAGACGGCATTTGGCAGTCGGGAGAAGAGCGATTTCGGGATGTTATAACCGGTTTCCTCTCGCCAGAAACAAAGAGCCCTCGTTTCCGGAGTACGGTAGTACATACCGGAACTCGGCGTATAATGAAAGGGGGCTTAGGGAGGGATACACATACGGAGAGGGAGGATATGAAATCATCGCCCAATTTATTATACTTTAATTTGAAGGGAGATTAGTTTATTTTCGGGAAAATTAGTGTTGTGGATTTGTGTGTCCTAAACTTGTTAAACTTTAGTTGAAAGGGATTGAAGGAACTTGTAATTTAAGATTTTTCGCTCATCGCCCCTTTGCGACGGCTAGAGATTTCGTGCGCGTCTGTGGCGAAGCGAAACTTTTTCTCCGACAAATCCACATTATTTTCCCGACAGAATGAAACTAGTCGCGCCATAAAGTCCGTAGAATTTTTTGCGCCGACCTGGCGGGTGCGATCGCCGAAAAGTGCATGTCGCTAGTGCAAAAACGGGAAGTCGCAGCGGCGTTGGCGGAAAAACGCATTGTGCAAGTTCTACGGACTTTATGTCGCACGTCAAAGAAAAAGTCAAAAAAACAGGAATCTCGGATCATTGATTTTTGACGAAATGTCGCTGAATTATCGAGTCACAAAAGAAAAGTTTCCCAGAAAAAAAGTTTTTTTTTTGAGAAAAATGTTTTTTCGAAGAGAAAAATAATTTTTCTATCTCGATAATTCTGTGGCACTTCGCAAAAAATCAATGATCCGAGATTCCTTGTTTTTTCTATTTTCTGAAAGCATTTTTTTGACGTGCGACTAGTAGTACCCTAAACAAAAAGTCCTGAGAATTTGTCGCAGCCCCGAATTCTGCCGCACTCTGAAAAAATTGCGACATTCACTTTCGCGCGAATTCATTTCAATTTGATCGCGCAAAGTCCGCGAAAAATGTGTCAGGACTTTGTTTTGATACGCGACTGGTAGTATAAAAATTTTGAAATTTGCTGTGCACAATCAATTTTCTCGGCGGCAATTCGATTTTCGATGCGCTTATTATTTTCCCGACAGATTGATAAAAGTACCGACTCTTTGCTTGCTTTTGCGCAAGGTGGCTTTATGGCGCGGTATGTCCAAAAATTTTTACTCCAAATTTATCAAACTCTATCAAAATTTTACTTTCGATGCGAAATGCAGCTCGTAATTTTCCCGACGGACTGATATAAGCTCGCTGAGAACGTTTTACATTGCAAGCCGTGTTTTGCAATACCTTGTTAGATCAAGCAGCTGAAGCTTATACTCTGTCACGCTTCCTCGCAAGCAACTCATATTGTTTCACGTAGAAGTACGTACATCCCCTCCAGATCTTCCACAATCAACCGACCAAATCTCTCGGCCTCAGGTCGGTCGGCTCTGTTACACCGGCACTACCATATTCCCGCTGCTCGCGCATGTCTCGCCCAATATCAAAATTCCAAATCAATTGAGAGACGGGCGCGTGCTGGGTGCGCAACCAAGCCAGTGCCGCGAGGGGGGACGATTTTTTTTATAAAACTCCCCCCGAAGATTATCTCAATTGCGCGAGCCGCGCGCACGGAGATAAAGCGGCCGCTGTAGCGGCGCCGCGACGCTGTCCCTTGTAATATGGTTATGCCAACAAGATTTTTGCAGTTACGTGGGCGAAAAGGTGGCGGCGTTTCGACATATTTTGCTGGCGGGTATAACAAACGCCAGTAGGCGGATTTTTGTTTTCTATTTGGCAAGCTTGACGTACATATTGAGACAAAGAGTGTTGTTTTTTGAATTTGCGGAGTAGTATGCTGATACTGATACTATAATAGTTGCTCTATAAAGTCCGTGACATTTTTCACAGTGTTTTTTTTTCGCGTCGCGTCGCGGCGATTCCCCATTTTTGCACTACCGACATGCACTTTCCTAATAATGCTGTGGTCTTTCCGCCAGCCGATGGTAACCCCGCTGGGACTTCGGATAGGAATTTTGCTATTAGTTTCCCCTCCGGTGAACCTCCAGGACCCTCTGGAATACGACCTTCTGAGCCGTTGGACGGTAGGACCGGGATTGGCGAAGTTGAGCACGCCCAGGCGGGAAAAGGAGGATTCCTGGTTGATGTTCTGGAATATAAACAAGCACATCGCAACGACTTTATGTGTGAGTTCTGTTATGTGCAGACAAAAGGTACCGTGTGCTCTAAGCCTCGGACCGATGCATGGTTAAATGCGAGATTTTGTTCTTGCTCCATCATGCCTATACGGCTTATCAGAAGAAGAATATTGAACTTGCACCCCGCGACGTCGCCGAGCGCACGCCGCGACGCGTCCCCACGACATCGCTGAAACGTGGACCTTGCGCCGTGACTAGTATTTTGTTACTCGCCGCCAGAGAATCCTGAGGGCTTACCGCGGTTCCGAATCCTGTCGCCCCTAAAAAAATGATTTTCCACTGGCGAAAAGGCAAAAAAAGCAAAAATGCACTGTGCAGATGGTATTTTTGGGTTAAATGTACTGCGCCAATTCTCAGGACTTTTTCTGAAATTAGCAGAAATTTCAAAATTTTCTGCAAATTCAAAAGTGCTTTAAGTGGGACGTTCAGAAACCGCTCAAAAACCGCATGGGGCGAAATTATCAGGACTTTTTGTCTCAACTATCAGTCTGTCGGGAAAATAAAGGTGGGTTGTCGCAGTGAATTCTCTCGCCTCGTCGAAAAAAGATGCAGTCGCGCACCAAATTTCCAGCTCAGCAGCCGTCGCAAGGCGATGATGGGCGATTCCAAAGCGCACCGACCCGCCGTTATTTTCCCGACAGATTGATAGTACTGTTCGCAAAGCCGCTAGGGTTACTTTCGGCGTTTGCACTGTACTAGTCGCTCAAAAAAAAGTCCGTAGAACTTTTTTCGCCGATTTCGCATGTGCGATCGCAGAAAAGTGCATTACGCTAGTGCGAACGCGGGAAGTCGCAGCGGCGCGGGCAAAAAACGCAGTATGCAAATTCTACGGACTTTATGGCGCGACTAGTAGTCCGTTCGTAAAGTCGCTGGAGTGATTTTTGCAACGTGCAGTCCCGAAAATCACTCCAGCTACCTCACGAACGGACTAGAAAGTTCTACGACTTACGGACTGACTACCACGGGCTTCATATTAGTTTCGGGAAACATGCATCGCAATCAGCACCGGATTAGTCGATCTCGATAACAATTGGGAAAAATTTTAATTTCCTATAAGGCTTTCCATCAAGCGATTTTCATTAGGATTCCAGAAGCTATAGCTTTCAGCGAGATATTAATTTCTTTCGGGAAATTAGTACGATTTTTGCCCGTAATTTTCTGGTTTCTGAACCAAAAATTTTGTTTTTCTGTAACAACATTGTGGAGTGCTCGGAGAAAAACACCTTTTGGCCATTTTGGAATGGAAAAAACTAATTTTTTTGTGGAGAAACTAGTGGAGGCACTATCCGGTAAAAACAGATACTAAAATTTTTGTGGTAAAATTCATAAAAAAACTGTGCTAGTTTGCCAACTTTTGGCCTAAAAATGCCTTAAAAAATTTACCCAAATTTTTGTCAAGTTTCATCAAATTCTTTACTTCGTGTTTGGTATAAATTCCCCATAAACTATATTTTTTTGCAAAATTGAAACTTTCATTGTTCAAATCTCACAGGGAAGTAGTTACAGAGCGATACCAGCTGTAGAAAACTTTTAGCTCGCCCCTTGAAAAAAAAAATTTGGATTTTTAGACCGAAATTTGGGGAAATGCAACAATATTTTTTTGCGAATTTTGGAATAAAACGCTTCGTACCTATTGCCATCGTAGAGGGCAATGTTAACACAAAATTTTAGTTTTCTCCGTACGAAACTGACAAAGATATGGCTAAAAGTGCTTTTTCTGTCTGACCGCTCTCCGCATTTCGCGTGCTCTCTCGGCTGCAAAGATTGATGAATCTCTTGGTTGCGGCAGCAAATTGTCAGTCAGAACTTTGGGAATTTGATATGTGCCTATGCCCGAAGCGGGCGCAAAATTTAAGGAAAATTTGCGCGTTGCGCTTAGGATGGGTCTCTTGTAAAACAACATGATTTTTTTTATTTTTTAGTGAAAGGTGAGACTTGACCTGAAAATTTCATTTTGTTTCCATCATTGGCCTATACCAAAATATATGGCCTATGCTTACCCAAATATGGCAAAAATTCAAAGAAAATCTGATCGTCGCACCCGGGATGGTTAACTTGTAAAAAAAACATGATTTTTTAGAACTTTTTAGAGAAAAGTGAGACTTGACCCAAAAATTTAACTACTAAATTTAAACCTTGTGAGTCTTAAAATTTTTCAATTTTAATTGCTTTTCAACAAAAAAAATAGGAAAAAAACCCTGCAGCCCTTAGGGCTTTTTGAGAAAATCCGACTAAATAAACCATCTCGAAGTCTCCCGCAAAGATACGGCCATGTCTTGGCGTTTCCTAGGAAATTCTCTCGCTGCAAGACCGTACCCGATGTTTTCTGTATGCAAAAACCCCTCCGATACCACTTCCGATTTATCTCATTGGCCTTCTCTCCCATTTTCTCCACTGCCACGAGGATACGGAGCCGATTACAGTAGGACGTGTGGGGTGGCATAAATAGGATTTTTTTGGCATAATCACGTTGTAGCATGGGCGGATAGGGAGGGCCATTTGTTTTGAGGCTATTAAAAGAGGGTTTAGCGCGGTGTTTGCAACCAGTTTTTTGATTACGACAGGTGGGATGCAGGAATTTAATGAATGATGTTTCACGTCGAAAAAAATTTTTTAGAAAAATGTGAAAAAAATTTTGAAAAAAATATTTTAAAAGATTGAGTTATTGTCGACGTGTGTCAATGTCTGGGATTATTGAGTACAAAAGAAGAAATTTCCTCTCAAAAAACAATGTTTCTGTGGATATTTGAACCCGCATGTTTTCGCACAGTGCGCTCACAAAGTGGCGTTGCGCGACATACAATCAACACAGTGCACCAGTAGTATTAGTCTGTCGGGAAAATAATGAGCAGAATGTCGCATGCAAGATCGCGTCGCTGAAGTCAAAAACAATTTATTTTTGCAGCGATACAATTCATTTTCTTGGCGGCGATGCGATTTTCGGTGCGGCAGAGTGCTCATTATTTTCCCGACAGACTGATTATTTTAAAATTTTTTTTATCATCGCGTTTTTTATTTTATTTTTATCATTTTTTTTGTGCTAATTCAAATGCTAAATTTTAATCTTTTCAGACACCTTGAATCTTTTTCCAAGCTTTCATTGGTCGACAACAAAGACAATTGGGGACGTTCGTGATGTTGGGAGGCAAAAAGTTTTAAATTTTTCTTCAACTTTTTTTTATGTATGCAAATTTTTTGAAACTTTTTTTTGACAAAGTTTTTTATAACACTCAAAAATCTGTCATAAACTCATCTAATGCTTTAACATCTTTTTAATCTCAGTCTGTCGGGAAAATAATGGGCACAACGTTACCGCAGGGCATTGTTTTTTGTTGAGGAGGGCTTTGAACTCTTGATATAGGTATAATATTTTGAGGAAAAATTTATGGGGGAAATATCGGTCTGTCGGGAAAATAAGGAGCACAATGTCGCTGCGCCGATCGCGTCACTGAAGTGAAAAGAAATTTGATTTTGTCGCGACACGATTCATTTTCTCATGCGATTTTCGCTGCGACAGAGTTCTCATTATTTTCCCGACAAACTCATATTCAAATTCAATTTTTTTTTCAAAATTCCATCAAAAAATCATATAAAATATGTTATAAATACAAATTTCAAAACAAGTTTTCGCCCATTCCCTCCGTAATCGTTCAGGAATTATGATGCGACACGGCGAAAAGCAAATTAAATTTTATTGTATAAATTACTTTATTCGGCTGTTAATGGAATTCGCTTTCTATTTCCGTAGCAAGAAAGGGTTGTTCCAAGCCAATAACGGGAATAAAAACACTCGGCCCGCAGGGCGTGTTTTGCAAATTTCGCGCGAAAATTTGGGGACTAGACTTTGGGCTTGGTAATCTTTCGAAGTATGCAAATTATGCAAATTTCGGCGAATGTAATCATTGGTCTTGCGGGTAATTTGGCTACAAGCGATGAGGGAGGGCATGCGATGTTCGTATCAGGTGATACGAATTCTTGGGAAAAGATGGGGATAAGGGAAACAGTTTTTTTTATCTAACAAGGAAGTGGTTCAAGTGTAAGGCTCAGATCTTGATGAAACTTGGGACAAGTTTAGAATATTGATTTCTAAGACATATTAGAGAATTATAACTTGTGCTTTGCAGAAAGGACTGGGATTTTTGGGTAGAAAATATGGGAAAATTTTTAACTTTCTTAGCGAATTTTTTCATGAAAAGTTTCATGGCTATTTCTACTGTTGAGGGTAATGTTTGTTTCCACAAAGAATCATTCTGTTCCGCATGAAATTGGCAGAGTTATGGCCAAAAGTGTTTTTACACTGAAAGGGGAAGTACTCCAAATGTGACAGATTTTCTTTAAATTTTGCACACAGTATCGACTAAATATCAATTGCTGAAAGTTTTAGCTCGCGCTTTGCGGGCGCCGCCGAGATATCGAACGATTTTTGCCGCCGAGAGAGCATGATAAATGTGGAGAGCGGTCAGAGAAAAAACCGCTTTTTGGCCATAACTTTGGCAGTTTCGTGCGGAAAAATTTGATTTTTTGTAGAAACTTGGAGTACATCCCCTGTGAGCCTCTCCGCATTTCGCAAACTATCTCGGCGCGCCGCGGCGTAGCTCATTCCCAAGGATTGTGCAAAATTTGAAGAAAAATTCGAGCGTCAGCTTGGGGTACCAAAAATTGTATTAGTCTGTCGGTAAAATAATGAGCACAATTTCGCTACACCGAGCTCGCTGAAGTGAAAAGCAATTCGATTTTTCACAATTCAGTTCCACCGGCGGCGATGCAATTTGCGATGCGGCAGAGTGCTCACTATTTTCCCGACAGACCGATAAAGAAAGGTTTTATTTATTTTTTTGAAACAAAATTTTTTAGTCAGCAAATTTTAGATTAGCAAAATAGACGTTTCTTCTGACCGTCTGCCGGTCAGAAGGTCTCCGCAAAACTGACAATAATTTAAGAGTATACTGTGAGTCTGTTGATTAGGATCAATGGCTGACACGAAGGCAGCAAGTCTTCTTTTTTGTGATTCTCTTCCGACCTTATCTATGAAATTGGGGCGCGCGGCATAGTCAAAGTTTTGGGGAACCGAAATTGTTTTTATATTTTTCGGGTTGCTGATTTGGTGCTGAACAAAAAAGTCATGGCTCTCGGGCCGAGGTGGATTGAAATCTCAGACAGGCCCGGTAAATGAGCTAAAGAGAAATTGTAATATTGAAATATTGCAAATCGTCGCTCACACTCTAACTT